CTGAATCAAATTAATCGATTTAGAAAGCCGTGCCGAAATCAAGTTGATTGTCATGTCATTTTATTTCTAAGCGAGTGCATGACTTTCTTGTCTTAGTTTTCATCATCGCTGATCAAAAATTTCAAACATAAAAAAGTGCATACCTGAGCTATTCTCAATTTTGTTTCATATCTGACTTCAATTCGCAGAAAAGTTTTCAATTACGGTGAAAACGACAATAACAAAAAAATCACACTGAATAATACAGTTGGTAAGCGTCGTGATATTTCATTTTTATAAACTTCAACATGAAGCAAGTTTAATTTATTGATGAATTAATTCATGATAAAATTAAAAGCGTCCCATTCTTAGAGTTTTCATACAGGAAGAAAGAAATGTATCAAAGAACAGCCCTTTCGCTGTTTTAAGCCTTGTTCAAATCCCTCTAATAATCGCGTGCCAGATCGCAATCGAAATTTACAAAAGTCTTATCTGAGAAAATATATAGCTTCAAGTCTGACAGTTCTTAACACATTTTTGCGAATCTGAAATTCATCAGAAGCCCTTGAAAGCAATTGCTGGAGGAAGTGTTTGTGGGACGGGTGCGCACGCGCGCTGTTTTTGTCAATTAACTCCAAACTTCTGTTGTTTACATTTAAGCTATTGTTTTTGTCTGATGTGTTTCAGTGCTGTAAACGCTAACGAAGTGCTCCAAAAGCTGAAAGGCAGACGACAAAATTAAATTCTTGCCATTTGCCGTTCGCATACACGAGGCGGTTTACCTAACTTGTGTTTTATTATAGAGGCATGGTGTCTTCAAATTCGGCGTTCCTTGCTTTGTGGTTAAGAATTTAAAAGCAAAATTTTGCAGAATTGAAGTCATTTTTTGTTTTTGGACGATAAACAAAAGAAAATTGCTACACCTCATTAAAGGGCGTTCCGATTTCTATAGCGGTCTTTACATTTTCAAGTGAAATCCGACGAGAACCTAAGGGTACACACTTAAATCGACGTGAAGTTTTAATGCGTGTTTAGATAAAGTTAATGTATGTATGTACGTATCGTGTGACTGGTTCTTGCATCAGTGTGTCTTCATCGAGTTATGAAGCGAGCAGGTAGTTTGGAGAGCACAAAAATGAGTAACGGTTGCTTGAGGCACAGTTAAGAACGACTTTATCTTCTTGAGTGCTCTCCAAACTTACTAAGGGCGATAATTCGATGAACGCACAACCATACATCAACCAAGCGTTTAACAAATTCACGCTGTTATTATTTCAATGTACAATAATCTTTTAGGGTTAGACTTAAATACAGAAACTCAGGATAAAATAGCGAGTAAAGTTCTGTTGTTGTGTACGCTGTTTAGATCGCTGTATCAACTTTGTAAAGGCATTATTCCCCATGAACGAAGCGAGACGTTACACTTTATTTCATTAAACTTATGTGATTGGTCAATGTCATTGAGTTTTCTCTTCAAGTTTAAGGTGCAAATAAATGGATTTAATCTCAAAGATTAACAAAAATTCTCAAATTCCACGATTGAGAGGCCCGTAACTTTGTCATAGACCTAACTTCTGAGCCATCTTCTCTTAGGGCGAAAGTGAACTCTTCACCTTTGAACACGTCCATATTAAAAGATAAAGCATCTGTATCTCTCTTCAAAGACTTGACAGTTCTAGTTCAAATTCCTCACCCCGCCCGGGCAAGGTTCAAACTCTTCACCCCTGGGCACGGACGACATACAAGGATCGCAATAGGCCAGCGAAACGTGGCCAAGTGACAGGCTGTGTTAAAAGGGTGTTTAACATTCAAGAAATTTGCAGGAAGCGAAGTTTTCTATCAAATCGTTGACTTTCTCGTACTTGATACATGCTCTAAATATATAATTGATCGGAAAGGCAAACATTTCTCTAGGTTGCTAGAACTGCAAACAGTTGCCCCAAACGTCAAAAGTTGCTCCGAAGCTCCTGGGCACAATCGGGACAGTCCAACAGATAACTCAAATCCCCGCGGACTCGAACTATTTTCCATTTCACTCGGGGGTTCGAATTAGCGGATTGTGCTGTATTTTATTAGAAAATCAGGAAAGACTCGTAAAGGGGCACCTAGCTCTCCGCGGCTTGGAACCCAAAATGTGAGTAAAACAAGCTTGAACATGCGAAAAA